AGACTATAATACAATTAAACTAGAAATGCATAACAGAAAAATAACTGTAAAACCTCCAAGTATTTGGAGACTACACACCACACTTTTAAATAACATGTGTCAAAAAGAAGTCTCAAAAGAAACATGAAAATATTTTGAACTAGATGAAAATACAAATTATCAAAATTCATGGGATGAGCCAGAGTTGTTTAGAGGAAAGTCCATAACATAAAATACATATATTAGAAAAGAAGGAAGATCTAAAATTAATAATTTGAGCTTCCACCTTAGGAAACTAAAGAAGGGCAACTTAAACCTCAAGCAAGCAGAAGAAAATAAATAATAAAATTAGGACAGAAATAAATGAAATTGAAAGCAGGAAATAAATAGAGAAAAGTCAAGGAAATATAAAGGTATTCCTTTAAAGAAATCAGTAAAAAGCAATAACCTGTAGCTAGGCTAACCAGGAAAAAAAAAGAGAAAAGATACAAATTATCAATATCAGAAATGAAAGAGGGATCATTACTACTGATCCCAGGGACACTTAAGGACAATAAATAAATAATATGAAAGGTCTGGGCCCACAAGTTTGATAATTTAGATGGAATGGACTAATCACAATCTATAACAATAGTTATAGTTAACTATTAAAGAACTATTAAAGAAACTGAATCACTAATCAATAACCATCCAAAAAAGAAAGCATTAGGACTGGATGGTTTCAGTGATAAGTTCTACCAAATACATAAGGAAGAAATGATACCAATTTTCTACAATGTCTTCCAGAAAACAGAAGCAGAGGCAACTCTTTCTATGAGTTCAACATTACCCCAACGCCCCAAACAAATAAAGACATTACAAGAAAGAAAACCACATAGCAAGACCTCTCACGAACATAGACCCAAAAATCCTCAACAAAATATTCGTGAATTGAATTTAACAATGTATAAAAAGAATTATACACCACAAGTGAGATTTATTCCAGATGTGCAAGGTGGTTCAACATTTAAAAAATCAATCAATGGAATAGACACAAATATTGAATCATTATGTTATACAACTGAAATTAATATAATGTATGTCAATTAGATCTTAATAAACAAATAAAACCTCTGACTTAGAGAAAAAAAAAGTCAATGTAATCCATCCCATCAATGGGGTAAAGAGGAAAGATAATGTGAACATAACAGCTGAAGCCGAAAAAGCATGTGACACAATTTGATAACCATTCATGATAAAAATTCTCAGTATACTAAGAAAAGAGGGGGATGTTTTCAACTTGATAAAGAACTTACAAAAAAAACCTACCCTTAATATCATACTTAGTGGTGAGAAATTAGGCACTTTCCTCCTAAGATCAGGAACAAGGCAAGGATGTGAGTGCAAATATCTGGGGAAGAACATTCCAGGTACAGACGCAATAGCAAAGTTGGGAATGAGATGCTTGAGGAACAGGGAGGAGGTTGGTTAGAGTGTTTTGAGTATGAAGCATAAGCAGGAACGTAGTAGGAGGTGACGTTACAGGAGTAAGAAGAGGCCTAATTCTGCAGAAACTTGGAAGCAAAGTCAGGAGCTTAGATGTTATGATAATGGCATTGGAAAGCTAGCGAGAGGTATGATGGCACTTAAATTTTTAAGAGTGTTTTGGTTGCTGACACGAACTGTGGCAAGCTACGTTCTTGGCAGGTGTTCACTCTGCATCTGGATTCAGAAGATAAGATGAGTCCATTATCAGCTAATGCTAAATGTACTCTCTCGCATATCCAATTTTTGTAACGAGCTTTAACAAAATTGTCAACCCCAGTATGTAGCCACCACTGCTTTTGAATTGGTATTACAAGGCAGGAGGCGTTCACCAGGCATAGCTGACCAAGAGAAAAAAGGTGGAAAAATACAAAGCCAATTTTTAAAATATGTGGTTTTGAGTGTCATTTTTCTAGATTAGCGAAAATATGAACAGACATAAGGAACCTGTCTATGTCTTTGCTGTAAAAATGCTATTGAAGGTCTGGTCTTTAACGTCGCTCACGACTCCTACTAAAAACCTTACCTAAGAAATTCCTTTAAAAATTAATGCCAGGACAAGTTTTTCCTGAGGAACATGGGTTAGTATTTCTTTCTGATAAGAACTAAATAATATACTTTATTTCCTTTTTTTTTTTTTTTTACACTGGCTACTTGAAATTTTAAACTCAGCTGAGACTGAACTGACTCTCAGTGTTGGCATGTTGGCATTCTCTTATCTCTATCCACCACCCATTGTATTTAGGACGTTATTGCAAAGCGGCTTCAACTCCGGCGTAGGTTGAGAATAAATTTATGGAGTGACGTTAACAGTAAAGAATATAAGTGAATACAGAGGACGACAGAGACTTTACTTAAAAGCATTTTTAGGACAATCAAGTGAACTGACGTACATTTCCTCACCTATGAGTCAGTTGTTCTTTGCTCTAGCAGAGCACATCAGCAGAAGACAGGCTCATTCTTATCGCTGGTCATCAACACCATGTGTATACTTTAAATAGAGGCTTTGCAGTCGAGCTTCCTTATTTTATTATTTTTTGCTTTTCATACTAAATATGTATGTCTGGGAGTCAAGGAAGTGAAGTGTCTACTGTAAAACTGCACTGAAAAGAGTGAGACTGACAGCATAGCTCAGCAAATGGCACTGATGTTCAAACATTTATGGGTAGACAGTTTCAAACAATAATTATTTATTAAGCAATGAAACACCACTTATAAAAGGAGGGTTTTCCAGTCAACTATTTAAAAGGTAAATTATATTTGCTGCTTTTCTCAAAGGCCAACCTCTGATTCATTTTCTTTTCCATGATAATTTATTGCCATCATATCCTTCTCCAGTTAAGGGTTGATTACAGGATTCTCAGTCACATACTGAGTAAGCTAGAGCCTCACAGCAGGAGATCCTTGAAACTTCTGCCTCATGGGGGTTGGGCATACATCAAAAGTACTGAACACATGAAGCAAGTGCTAAACAAAGCTGTTGAACAAAGAAAAATAATGACAGTGTAAATAATTTTTTCAAATTAGAGTGTCAATCCTAAAATTTGCATGAAACCACAAAAGACCCCAAATAGCCAAAGCAATCCTGAAAAAGAAAAGCAGAGCTGGAGGCATCAGGATTCCAGACTTCAAGCTATATTACAAAGCTGTAGTCATCAAGACAGTATGGTACTGGCTCAAAAATAGACACATAGGTCAATGGAACAGAATAGAAAACCCAGAAGTGGTCCCACAATAGCATAGTCAACTAATCTTCAACAAAATAGGGAAGAATATCCAATGGAAACAAGACAGTCTCTTCCACAAATGGCATTAGGAAAACTGGACAGTGACATACAGAAGAATGAAACTGGACCACTTTTTTTTACACCATATGCAAAAATAAATTGAAAATGGATGAATGGTCTAAATGTGAGACAAGAAACCATCAAAAACCTAGAGGAGAACACAGGCAGCAAAGTCTTTGACCTTGGCCAGAGCAACTTCTTACTAGACATGTCACTGGAGGCAAGAGAAACAAAAGCAAACATGAACTATTGGGACCTCATCAAGATAAAAAGCTTCTGCACAGCAAAGGAAACAATCAACACAATGAAAAGGCAGCCTACAGGATGGGAGAAGATATTTGCAAATGACATATCTGATAAAGGGTTAGTATCCAAAATCTACAAAGAACTTATCACACTCAACACCCAAAAAAATAAATAATCCAGTTACAAAATGGGCAGAAGACATGAATAGACATTTTTCCAAAGAAGACATCCAGATGGCTAACAGACACATGAAAAGATGCTCAACATCACTCATCATCAGGAAAGTACAAGTCAAAACCATGATGAGATACCACCTCACTCCTGTCGGAATGGCTAAATTTAACAACACAAGAAACTACAAAGTATTGGCGAGGGTATGGAGAAAGGGGAACCCTCTTACACTGTTGGTGGGAATGCAAACTGGTGCACGCACTCTGGAAAACAGTATGAACGTTCCTCACAAAGTTAGAAATAGAATTACCCTATGATCTAGCCATTGCACTACTAGGTATTTATCCAAAGGATAAAAACACTGATTCAAAGGGGCACATGCACCCTGATATTTATATCAGCATTATAAACAATAGCCAAACTATGGAGAGAGCCCACATGCCCATCAACAGATGAATGGATAAAGAAGATGTGACATATATATACAATGGAATATTACTCGACCATCAAAAGGCATGAAATCTTGCTACTTGCAATGACACGGATGGAGCTAGAGTGTATTATGCTAAGCAAAATAAGTCAGGCAGAAAAAGACAAATACAAATGATTTCATTCATATGTGGAATTTAAGAAACAAAACGGATAAACATATGGGAGTGGAAAGAGAGAGGGAAACAAACCATAAGAGACTCTTAATGATAGAGAACAAACTGAGCATTGATGGAGGGAGGTGGGTGGGGGGTGGGCTAAATGGGTCTTGTGTATAAAGGAGGGAACTTGTTGAGTTGAGCACTGGATGTTATATGTAAGTGATGAAGCACTGAATTCTACTCCTGAAACCAATATTACACTCTATGTTAACTAACTAGAATTTAAATAAAAATTTGGGAAAAAAACCAAAAAAACCTAGAATGTTTAAGGAATGTATTGCTGGTGTACAAGCTAAAAGTGTGTTTGTCCTGCTGCTGAAGGTCACAAGCAAACTCGAGCCCCAGTCTTCAGTGTGACATACTCATCACAGTCAGTTACAAAAAGAAAGTCTTGAGGGGGGGGGGTACTTGTCATATTTTCATCATAGCTATTTCTAGTTAAGTGATATATCTGATGTTAATCTATGCCAAATCTGTAAGTAATTCTAAGAAAAGTTTCAAATGTCATCTCAATAAGGTTTACTGGACTACTTTATGTACAAGTTCAACCCCGCTTTCAGAATGCACCCCTATACTTCTGATCCTCTTGTTTGATCTATGTTTATATAGCATTTATCACCTTCTAACATATAATAAGACTTACTTACTTAGTATGTTTCTTACTGTCTTTCTACTGGAAGTTGAGCTCCGTGAAGACAGCGAATTTTCGACTCTCTAAAGAAAATATTCCCCATATAATCAAATAGTTTTTAACTTAAAAAAGATCTAGATGTTAACATACCAATTTCAAAACATGTATGTGAAACATTACAACTATAAAGTGTTCTGCAAGTGAGTAGCATTAACGATGGAATGTAAAGATATAAAATTCAGAAAAATATCCCACTTACTAGGAGAGACTCTCCTACAAACTGTTCACACTTAGCCCACAAACTCTGTAATAGCCTTATATTTTTGCTTTCAAGCTTTTTGCACTTTCCTTTTCAATTGTTTTTATTTTTAATGTTTGTTTATTTTGAGAGACAGAGAGAGAGGCAGAGAGAGAGGGAGAGAAAGAAAATCCCAAGCAGGATGTGCACTGTCAGCACAGAGCCTGATGCAGGGCTCCAAGTCATGAACTGTGAGATCGTGACCTGAGAGGAAATCAAGAGTTGGACGCTTAACTGACTGAGCCTCCCAGGTGCCCCAGCACTTGCTTTTTTCTTTTCTTTTCTTTTCTTTTCTTTTCTTTTCTTTTCTTTTCTTTTCTTTTCTCTTTCTTTTCTCTTCTTTTCTTTCTCTTTCTTTCTTTCTTTCTTTCTTTCTTTCTTTCTTTCTTTCTTTCTTTCTTTCTTTTTTACAAATGGGTTTTAGGTGGTTGAAGTCATTGGAACTCTCATTTCCAGGGAATGTAATAGTTCATCGATATATTCCGAGTACATAGAACTGTGTCTGGTGCATAAATGCTCAATAATTATTTGTTGAATGATTTAAAATATGACTATGCCAAATCTGAGTATTGTCTGCAAAGTATATTACTTGGAACAGTTTTGTAGGAGACATGTATGGTCATGTCTTTCTAATTCTTGACCCTTATTTAATCTCCTTTTCTTTGGTTACTTAAGTTGTATATCAGCTTATCTAAGTCAAAGCCTTCCTTCAAAATGTCCATTATTTAAACAGAGTTGCTCAACTTGATGCTCGTCTCTTGCCAACAGTGTGTGCCCGTTACTTCTTTGTATCCTGTGATGACCAACCACTGAAGACTGCAGGGGTGTTATCCATTTCTGGGATTCTTTACAGAATGCACATTTAAAACCTAAGCTTATAACTATTATTAAATTAAAAGTGGAGAGGGAAAACATGGCACTGGTCACTTATACAGGGATCTTATGTTTGTAGAATCCCACAGTCTCTAATGAATCATAAATTCTGAACACATTTCTACTGCCTGTAATGAAAATACGGTTATTCATTGATATTTAACATTTTCAGACTTTAAGAAGAATAAGGCATGTTAAGTGAAAGGCCCTGGATAGCAGACAACTTCTTTTCTCTATCTACCTGATTCTTCCTGAATCATCCTGTTCCTACATTTGTTTAACTCCCATTTATTGTGTAGTCATTGACAGACTGAGGGCAGTTACATCAGAGAGGATAGGGAAAGGATTGTATTTATTTTTCCAGCTATATTGGGATATAAGTGAGAAAAATGGTACATATTTAGTTTGCACAGCATGATTTTTAAGTTTTACAGTGTGATGATTTTATGTGTAGGTATATATGTACATGGAGAGAGAGAGAGAGAAATGATTACCTCAATCAAGTTAATTAACACATCACCTCATATACTTTTTGTTTTTGTGATAATACCTAAAATCTACTCTCCTAGAAAATTTCAAGTATACAGTACAGTATTATTAATTATAGTTATCATGCCATACAGATCCCAAGAACTTATTCATCTTAGAGCTGAAAGTTTGTGCCCTTTGACCAATATCTCCCCATTTCCCCCTCACTCTCCAGCCCCTGGCAACCACTGTTCTACTTTTTGGTTCCATGAGTTCAACTTTGTTAGAGTCCACATATAAGTGAGGCAGAATTTGTCTTTCTTTGTCTGGCTTATTTCAGTCAGCATAATATCCTCCAGATTCATCCATGTTGTCACAAATGGCAGAATTTCCTTCTTTTTATTGCTGAAAAATATTCCATCATATGTATGTGTATTTATCACACTTTTCTTTCTTATTCACCCTTTGATGGACTCTCAGATCGTTTCCATGTCTTGGCTATTATGAATAATGCTGCAGTGAACATAGGAATGCAGCTATCTTTTTGAGATACTGATTTCATTTCCTTTGGGTATACTCCTAGATGTGGTTTTGCTGGGTCATAGGGTAGTTCTATTTTTAATTTTTTGAGGAACCTCCACACTGTTTTCCATGGTGGCTGTACCAGTTTGCATTTCCACCAACAGTGCTCAAAGGTTCCCTTTTCTCCACATCTTCACCAACACTTATTATCTCTTGCCTTTTTGATAATAGCCATTCTAACAGATGTGAGGTGGCCTATCATCATGGTTTTGATTTGCATTGATGATTAGTGATGTTGAGTACCTTTTTATCACTGTATGTCTTCTTTGCAATAATGTCTATATATGTCCTTTGCCCATTTTAAAATTGGATTCTTTATTTGTATTTCTGCTATCGAGTTGTATGCCTTCCTTATACATTTTGGGTACTGGCCTCTTATCAGATATGTGGATGGCAAATATTTTCTTTCATTCCACAGGTTGCCTCTTCATTTTGTTGACGGTTTCCTTTGCTGTGCAGAAGTTTTTGGTTTAATGCAGTCCCACTTTTTAATTTCTGCTTTCATGGCCTATGCTTTTTTGGTGTTATGCCCCAAAAAGTCATTGCCAAGACTAGTTTCAAAGAGCTTACTCACTATGTTTTCTTCTGGGAATTTTACAGTTTCAGGTCTTACACTTAAGTCTTCAATCCATTTCAGGTTAATTTTTGTATATGATGTAAGATGAGGGTCCAATTTTATTCTTTTGCATGTGGATATCCAGTTTACCCAAAGCCTTTTATTGAAGAGACAATCCTTTCCCCATTGTGTATCCTTGGCACCATGGTCAAAGATTGGTTGAACAGATAGCATGGATTTATTTCTGGGCTCTCTATTCTGTTCCATTGATGTATGGTTCTGTTTTTCTGCCATTACCATACTGTTTCAATTAGTATAGCTTTGTAATATAGTTTGGTATCAGGGAGTGTGATGCCCATAGCTTTGTTCTTTCTCAAGACTGTTTTGGTTATTTGGGGTCTTGTGTGGTTTCATGTGAATTTTAGGACTATTTTCCTTTCTCTGTGAAAAATCCTATTGGAATTTTGATACGGATTGTATTGAATCTGTAGATTACTTTGGGTAGTATGAACATGTTAGCAATATTCTTCCAATCCATGAAGGGGCACCTGGGTGGCTCAGTCGGTTAAGCGTCTGACTTTGGCTCAGGTCATGATCTCACAGTTGGTGAGTTCAAGCCCCATGTCAGGCTCTGTGCTCAGAGCCTGGAGCCTGCTTTGGATTCTGTGTCTCCCTCTCTCTCTGCCCCTCCCCCATTCACACTCTGTCTCTCTCTCTCTCTCAAAAATAAACATTAAAAATATTTAAAAAAAAATTCTTCCATGAACATGGAAGATCTTTCTATTCATTCATGTTTTCTTTCATTTCTGTCATCAATATCTTATAGTTTTCAGTATACAGATCTTTCACTTCCTTAGTAACTTCTGAAGTATTTTATTCTTTTTGATGCTATAGTAAATGGGGATTGTTTAAATGCGTATGGAGAGAGAGAGAGCAGAGTGACCTGCTGAACTCTATGAAACTGCCAAATGTGGGGCGCCAGGGTGGCTCAGTCGGTTAAGCGTCCGACTTTGGCTCAGGTCATGATCTCATGGTTTGTGAGTTTGAGCCCCGCATTGGGCTCCGTGCTGACAGCTCCGAGGCTGGAGCCTGCTTCAGATTCTGTGTCTCCCTCTCTCTCTGCCCCTCCCCTACTCAATAGCTCTGTCTCTCAAAAATGAGTAAACATTAAAAAAAGTTTAAAAATGTAAAAAAATTTGCCAAATGTGTCATTAACATTCCTCCATCATTTCTTCCCCACTTAATATGCCAGTCCTGTATTCTCATGGTCTCATGGTATCTCTGATTATCCTAATTTCCTGAAGGTCTGCACTTGCTAAAATGCCTCATTTTAGAAATTTATTCTTCCCTTCTCCTTGATCATCAAAATACTAATTCCTTCAATAACCTCTGAGCTGATAAAGTAGTTATGAATTCAGTTACATGATTAAGGTTATTCACAATAAAATTAGCTCATTTACTGAGTTATGTCAACTCAATAAATATTTACTAGCCACTTAAATGCCAGTTCTGCTCAGTATACAGAAATACCTAAAACTCAGTTTCTTCTTTAAGGAAGTCACAGAAGAAATGAAGGATACACTTAACTTACCCAAAGATGCTATTAATTTTAATGGAAATGCCTGTTCACAGATCATACTTCAGTGGTTTTCATAACATGCTTACAATATCTCAGACGCTGCCACGGGCAATGAAGGACAGATTTCATCTTATGCTGCCAGCAGTTCTGAATTACATAACGATCCTGGAATAAACAAGTTGATGCCCCCATGCCCTCGCAAATGCTAACTTCTCTGTGTATAATGCCCCACCCTTGTGCAATTCTTGTCATTCTTCAAAAGTCAGCTCTAATGTCAACACTTTGCAAAGGACTCTTTGTCATCACCTCTTCCTAATTGATCTCCAGTTTTGAGCTATATCTGTACCTTGTGGATCACACTGTGTTCCCTTTCTTTAAAGCCCGTCTCCTTTTTTTCAGACTATGAGCTCCTTCATGCATAGATTAGAAATTATTCACCTCCCAGCAGACCTGTAAGTAAGGCACTCAGCAGGAAATATTGAATGAAATTAATTATTGAAAACCTATTATTTCTCTGCTTTCTTTCATAGATGCTAGTGAAATAGATCTTTTTTAGGAGCTCAGGTTTATCACCACATTTTATTTATGCTTTCATCACTTGATAGACATTTGAGTTGTTTCCACTTTTTGGGTGCTATATCCCATTACATTGGTAAAAAACATTTACAAATATTTGGGAGGATCAGCGGGAAAAATATTAAATTAGGAGTTCTGAAACCTAGATGTTACCTAGATGTAGCTTTGGTAGTAATTCCATACTTATTAAAGGAGATTAAAAAAAAATGTTTATTTTTGAGAGAGAAAGAGAGAGGACAGAGCGTGAGCAGGGGAGGGGCAGAGAGAGAGGGAGACACAGAATCCGAAGCAGGCTCCAGGCTCCGAGCTGTCAGCACAGAGCCCTATGCGGGGCTCCAGCTTACAAACTGTGAGATCATGACCTGAGCTGAAGCTGGGTGCTTAACCGATTGAGCCACCGATTGAGCCACTCCTTCATTAAAGGAGATTTAACTAAAATTCCTTCCACCTTAGTCAATAATTTTATATTTTATCTTTTTCAAGTGTTTGGCCTAAGATCGAAGTCCTGCAGCAGGAGAAACATTAAATCTGGAACTATGAGTTACACATTGCAGCTAAGAAACACAGTAAATATTGTAATCCATTTTAACCTTAAAATCTTTTTTATTTTTTACTTAGTTCACAATTTGGAGAATACTTTAAAACTCAATTCTACATGCCCCTCTTTGAAGAAAAGATGCTCTCCATTATACCAGGTGATAAACATTCTGATAATAAACAGAGGTGCCTGGGTAGCAAAGTTCATGAAGCTTCTGATTCTTGATTTCTGCTCAGGTCACCATCTCTCCGGTTTGAGAGATCAAGCGCCATGACTGGCTCTGCACGGAGCCTGCTTGGAATTTTCTCTCTCCCTCTTTCCCCGCCTCTCCTCTTCTCACGCACACACTCTCTCTCTCTCAGAATAGACAAACATTAGGGGCACCTGGGTGGCTCAGTTGGCTGAACACCTGACTTCCGCTCAGGTCATGATCTTCTGGTCTGTGAGTTCAAGCGCCACATGGGGCTTGCGGTTGTCAGTGGGGTTTCAGGTCCTCTGTCCCCCTCTCTCTGCCCCTCCTCTGCTTGTGCTCTCTCAAAAATAAACATCAAGCAAATAAATATACATTACACATTCTAATAATAAAAAAGAATCTGAAAATTATGGAGTGTACTGGGGAAGTACTTTCGTTTCTCCCTGCTTGTTTCTGGCAGGGCATGGCCAGTTTCTAAAATCTTGTCATTTGTCACTGCAATCAAAAGTTCACTTTGCCTCCCTTATAAAGTCGATCTTTAAGGAGGATTTGAGAATATCCTAGTTGACCATTCTCACATTCTTGAAACCTGGAGGAAGCATCCTTTGACCACTCTTTTGGGTGCAAAAGGATGTGTTTTTCATTCGCGGTGCGGTTGCTGAAGCTTCCAGTAAAAGAATCTGGTAGCTAATTAGCAATCCGCTTACCTAGTAGTGAAAACTGAAATGACTTGGATAACGCGAAGAAAATAACACACAGACATGTACCTCCAGAAATCGCTCTAAAAATATCCGTATTTGGCGAGAGACAACTCCACGCGGGAAAAGTCACAGCCAAGAAAGCGATCCTTCGCCAACTCTGACTCGCGCCTCGGAAACCTGCGCGTGGAGCGTGCAGAGCTCGATTGGCTCCTTGGAAACCGCAGCCCGGCAGGTCTCAGGCAGGCCCCGGGGAAGCGCGCCTGGAGGAGCAGGTGTTCTCAGGCTGCCGTCTGCGCCTGCGCCGGTCCACCGCGCCCTCGTAGTAAGAGAGGCCCGGATGGAGGACGCGGAGACGCGCCGTTGCTATGGCACCTGGGTCCTGGCCGCCGTGGGAGCAGGTGCCGGGGTCTCCCTCGGCTTACTGTCTGTCAGAGCTTAGAAAGAGGAGGAGAGGAGAGCTCCCCCGGCCATCTCTGTGACCCCAGCCGCTGCATCTCACACAGGCAGGAGGGGAACCAGAGGGAGAGAAGGGAAGGATGATGCGGAGATTTTTATGGTGGGAGATATTTATAGAGGGGACGGGGGTCAAACGTCTGGGACGTCTGGGAGGAAAAGTGCTTAGAAGAAGGGAGCGAAGAGCCTTCCTGTGGGCTTCTCATGCGGGCGAGTCCCGGGTCCGGCGAGCCCGAGGGGGAAGCCTGGCAACACCTTGCTTGCTTGGCTTTGTATGAGGGAACCCCCCCCCCCATTTTTGTCATTTTCTTACCCCGCTCAAAGTTCTCCTCCCCAGGAGAAAAAAAGTCATTCCTGAAATGGTAGCTTCCATGAAGAGGCTCGGATATTCATTTAGTCGATGGTACCTGGGGACCCTGGATACAAATTAAACTTACCACCTAATGTTTGTAAAATACTACTTAATTGTCATACTTGGTGACAGAGCATGAATTGAAGAATTTTAAAATTCAGTTGAGAAGGAGGCAGCAGGGAGAATGGGCCAGGTGGTCTCATGGTGTTCTTAGGGGTTAGCTTTTGCTTAAGTACTTACTTTGTATTAAAACGGGTTGTCTTTGACGTTCTTTCGATGCTCTTCGATTTTAAACAAGCATGTGTTTAACAGGCTATGAGATAAGGCTGGGGTCAATGAATCAAACTATTTTCGAAGGTCTGAATCCCGAAAGAAAGTTGTCAAAAGCGTATACATATAGACTTAGCTTAGACTCACATTAAAGGATCTGCAGTCACATACTCACAGGGGATTTAGCAGACACCCAGGAGGAAGGAATTAATTTCTGTCTCTTATTACAGTTAACCTATTAAGAGGGTGGTTCTTACTCAAGCCACACAGAGATTTTTACTGCTGATAAACATTGAAATTTAAATGTGTGAAACTCACAAGGAGTAAGTGTGAGGGATTCAGTTTGTGTAAAATGTGTTTTTGTTCCAGTATGTTGACTGTGTAGCATATGGCCAGTGCCCTGGGGATGATGATTAAAACAACTGAAGGGGATTGGATATCCTGTGACGCATTTGAAAAAGGCTTAAGGGACTTGGTAACAAGAATTTATGATTTACGTTCTTTGTTTACTTGGCAACCAGCCATGAGGTTTTTGAAGAGGCAGGAAAAGAATGGTGGTACAAATTTAATGCACCTTCATTTTCTTCTTAGAGTCACTTCAAACTGTGGCTTTTTCTCTTTTCAATTCTTGCATAATAGTACGATTTAATAACACCTAGTATGTTTGATTTTTTCATTGCATTTTTATCGATTATGCTGATCCTATCTGTTAGTTTTAAATTTGAGCTTTCACATGGGTGAAATTCATTGTAAATAAAGCACAGCTACCAAAGTCCTCAGGCAACTATTTGTTTACAAATTCAGAGCTATGTTTATTACAAAATTAAAGGAGAGCACTGGAGAGTTCCATAGAAATTTTATTCTAACAATTAGTTATGTAACCTAAACATCTTCATAAATAAATTCCAAGATCCCTGGTCTGAAAAGAAAGCAGATTATCCTAAGGCACTTGTGACTGTGAAAGACAGTATTGTTCCTATAAGTATTTTGGATCACAGTGAGTTTTAGTGTCTTCTAATCATCCATGGCACCCTTACTTTCAATTAGTAGATAGTTAGGCATAACAGTTGAGGTGAGTTAGCCTGTCTTGCGGCCAGCCAGTGGTAGATAAACTCACTCCAAAGCATTGGTTTGGTTTCCCTAGGTTACCTCAAAATATTATTGCTCTCAGCCTTTGCTTTACAAATTACTGAAACCTTACTTTGAGTTCTTTAAGTAAGTCCGTTCTGTATTCTTAGTTTAAAAGAAATAAGTATCTAGAAGGAATTGGAATCCAACTAATACATTGGAAATAGTTGTAATTACCCAGTTGAATAATTAGATTGAATGATTTGCGTTCATGTACCTAAAACTAACTTCGTCTTGAGAAGGAGAAGGGTACCAATCAATACCAAACACTATGCTAAGGCAGGCGGACATTGAACTGAAACAGACCAGAAGTTTTTTTTTTTTTTAATTTTTTTTTTTAATGTTTATTTATTTTTGAGACAGAGACAGACAGAGCGTGAACAGGGGAGGGGCAGAGAGAGAGGGAGACACAGAATCGGAAGCAGGCTCCAGGCTCTGAGCTGTCAGCACAGAGCCCGACGCGGGGCTCGAACTCACGGACCGTGAGATCGTGACCTGAGCCGAAGTCGGACGCTTAACCGACGGAGCCACCCAGGCGCCCCCAGACCAGAAGTTTTTAAGTCTTGGATTTAAAAGGCCCCGATCACTTGTTTTCGATTAAGTTTATCATGATACTGTGCATTTCCTTTTAAATTCTCGTGCTTTTCATGAGTTGGCAGTTATTTGCTAAATTGCAGCTTATAAAAAGTTTAAAAGAAATCTTAGGGGTCCCCCAGCTCAACAGTTTTTGCTAAAGCTCCTTGTCATTGACAGGGAATGAAGCACTTCTAATAGGCTGCTCACTTCTCTTCAGGACAAGTTTGCAATGTAAATTCTGTTTTAAAATGCTGAAATATATCCCTGTTTCCAGCCCTTGACACTAGTTTCACTGTTTGAAGTTAGGCAAGTCCAGTCTTCCTCCAGCCAGCAGCCATTTGGATAATGTAAAGCACGTGTCATGACTTTTGTGTTTTCTTTTCTTTAGGATAATATTCCTAAGGCATTCCTCAGGGTCTGGTTTTCAGGCATTACTCTCATGGCCTCCCTTCTTCCCTTCCTTCTCTTTTATGCCTCTTCCTCCTGGTTTGCTAGCCTCTGAATGTGTTCCAGCTTGTCTTTTGTCCTTTACAGTGCAGCCCAGGAAACTGGAGAGGGTGCTTCACACTTCTGTGTGTCTCACCCATAGTCTCAGGCTTGCAGTTGATGTATATGTTGGGTGTCCCCATCATCCTTTTAACTCACTGGAACCTACTGTTCAGTAAAACCTATTAAAATGTTTTTCACACACAGTATTGAAAAGCCTCACCTCTTCACTTAGCTAGTGCCTGTGCAACTAGTGGGAAGGTGTTCTCCCACATGCTTTTTTGGGCAGTGTTGGAAGGAAAATCATGTATATCTCATCTCCCTTTAGTAAAATTGGCACGAGGTTAGGTGATCGAGTCAAAGGTTCACAGATAGTAAAGTGAAGCCAGTGGCCGAAACGAAGCTTGTGGGTAGTTTATTAATTCAGACAAAATCTTTCTCATTTTAGATCCTAAAGAAATATGTTCTTGACATCGGTACTTTCTGCCTCCAGAAAGGGTTTTAGGCAACTTAGTCTTGCTACAGGCACAAGAGATGGCTCATAGGTATAGAAACAGGTATACAAACAGGGTCCCAGGTGTTTGGGACCCTGAAGATGAGATTTCTATAGTTCTTTTGAAACTGGACCTAAAATTCTAGTACATTTAGAGAGCACTGCTCTTTCTGTTTTTGTTTAATAGTGGAAAATGTGCAGATGATTGTTATATATTTCTACATTTATGACAATTAGATCTACATGAACAGTTTTCCCTCAACCCTGTTTTTTGAACAGATAATCGGACATCAGACTGACCCCTTCTCCCTCCTTCCAGATTCTTCTTCAGGAACACATTATGTTCAGGTCACCCTGGACAATTTCATGCACTTCCATGTTTGTTTGCTCTTTCTCGTGCTGTTCTCTTTGTCTGAAATAACTAGTAACCTCTTGTACTCAGTATTCAAAGCCCATCTCAGCTTTCCTTGGTATTTCTAATTTTAGACTGAGTTCATTGCTTTTTTATTCCGCCTTCCATAATTCTTTACTTTTTTATTTTTGTTTTTATCTACATTTTTTTTTTTTAATTTCTGGGTTTTGTTTGTGTTTGTGTTCTGTACCATACCGGAAACACCTCAGGGGCATAGGTCTGTTTTATAATCTTTATGGGAATGTATATAGGAATATTGTAGGTGTTCAACAAAGTTTCATCAAAACTGTACATATATACACATATATATGGTATGTTCACATGCATATGCAGACACATAGGTGAAGATTTATTTGCTGCTTTTGTTTGAAAAATTATAGACAAAACTATATAGCAGGGCTAGGAACTGACCTCAATTTGTAGATAACTTGAGCTTTGTTCTCTTAAAAATGACTTAATTTATACACCATTTTCATAAACATTAACTTTCACCTGACCTATTTATTTATCACTGTTACTGGATAGTATTAGACATCACATTTGTTTTTGCTTTTTTTTTTTTAATGAAAAATATATTTCATAGAGTTTAAAACAGTTTGACTTCTGTGGAAATTAACATCTACTGTCGTTGAAAATCAAATGTTACTTAATTGAAAGCTCTCAGATCACAAATTATAACCGTGCCCTATAAACTAGTAGAAGGATTAAAAAATTGAGGATAGGCAGTGATATTCAGGTTTCCTCCACATTTGAAAGTTCGCTTTACGCTTCTCTTTGGCAAAAGACCTACATTTGTTCCTGTTTTTGTTCACTGAATGAAATCTGAAGAGGATTTTTGCTTTTATGAAACTGTAATTGCTTCTTTGCTTTATGCCATGTTGGCTTTCCTTGGAATACTCTGCTTTCAGAGAGCTGAGGAAACCTGTATTTGTTTTCATTTGAACATTAGACAACGTTAATGAGTATGACTTAAAAGCTGAGTCATCTGCTCTGACCTGGGCAAGGAGTTTTAACGATTGGCAGGGGATGTGGAAAATCCTTCTCTAAGCCTCAGATAGTCTTCTTATCCCCCTTTTTTTAGGCTCCTTGTAAGTGAGGGTTTCAGGAATTGGGTGGAGGGGGGTGGTTTTTAGAGTGGTACATCTAGAAAATGTCTGGCCATTGAAGGCCTCTCTTTCAGGGTATACAGATATATGTTTATTCTGAACGTTCCATGCTTTGTGTTTCTATGTGTTGGTTAGTCTATTACATTAATCTCCATACTCCACTCTGCCCCTAAAGTGGACATAACATATACCTTATCTTTTTAAATCTTACAGCATTATTCTATAACAAACAGAAAATGGATGAAAATAAAGATGTGGACTCAAAAGAAAGTGGAGAATATGAAGATGACTTTGAAAAGGACCTGGAATGGTTAATTAATGAAAAAGAAAAAGGTGGTGCCAGCATAATAGAGGTATATATAAATTGCCAAAAGCATTCATAATAATTACATTAACAAAGTGCTTTGTAATTCTTCAAGAGTTTTGCATATACTATGTCATCTAAACCTCCCCAAATTCCTTTGATATATATAGAACAAGTATCATTATTTCTACCTTAGAGATGAGAACATTGAGACATTAAGAGTTTATATGTTGTATCCTAAGGTGAGAGATGAGAGAACAGGGATTAAGTTAGCATTTAATAAAGTTTAAATTACAATTAAAAATAGGAGTGCCTGGGTGGCTCAGTCCATTGAGCTTCTGACTTCGGCTCAGGTCATGGTCTCACAGCTTGTGAGTTTGAGCCCCGCATCCGGCTCTGTGCTGACATCTCAGAGCCTAGAGCCTGCTAAAGATTCTGTGTCCCTCTCTCTCTGCCCCTCCCTCACTCATGCTCTGTCTCTCTCTCTCAAAAATAAGTAAACATTTAAAACACTTAAATTATAATTAAAAATTATAATTTATATAATATAAATAAATATGATTTATTGCCTCAAAAATAAAAACAAGTACAATTTCTACTTTATATAAACTTGGATAAAATCATGGGGTTATACTTTTAATATAAATGAAAATAAAGCAAATCCTCAAAAAACATGGTCTTTTGGCTAACATTTGAAACCTTAAGACTGAATCAGCCCTTCAGGAGAATGTATATAGAGGAAAAGCGTAGAGAGTCAAAACTGAGCCATAGGAATACCTTTAGGAAAAAGTGGACCCATTAAACATGATCATACAGGTAGAAGGGAAATCCAGGAAAATGAACCTGTTCCTGGATCATGGATATATATATATATATATATATATATATATATATATAGTGTGTATGTGTATCTATATGTAATTTGTGGGTACATGTTTATATATATTCATATATGTATATATTCATATGTATATATGTATGAAATTAACGTCAATAAATAGGTAATGAAGAAAAGATGTAAGACTGCTATAAGAATAGGTGACTTTAGAGGGACAACGACCTAAGTAATTGTGACAGAAGTCAGATTTAAGGTTAAGGGAAAGAATATGAGAAAAAGAAGACGGGCAGTTTTACATCACAGACTTCTCTTAGTTGCATTTTGCTTTCTTATACAATGGAGAGGACAAATGGGATAATATTTGAAAAAGGCAACAGAGTGAAAAGTAAAGGTTTTTCTGAGATGGCCTTTAAGTGGGAGTTCGATGCATCTTTAACAGAAAAATAGTAAGATTGAGTAGAGGCAGAGATACCCCAGAGTGGTCAGTTTGAACCAAAGTCTCATGACTGGAGGGGTGTGAGATCCAAAGCACAGAGTGCTAGAATTAGAGAAGTGATGATGATGCTTCATTGTTTCATTTCTTTCTTCATTCAGAAAATATTAATAATCACCTACCATGTATCCGAGGCTATTGTGGGTGCTGGGGAAATGGCAGCTTCAAAACAAAGGGCTCTCATCCATCTTCCTCATTTTTGTGGGTGATTATAATCACTTCCTCCTATGAGGCTGGCAGGAAAAATGGATGACAGAGATAGAGACTGGGATGAGGGCTGGGGGGTGTGAAAAGTGACAGTTTTATTGCACTGAATTTTTTGGTTACTTTGGCTTCTTTTGCAGTGGGTTTTAAAAAATGAAAACCAAAGAATAATTAGGAAACAGATACTGTCAGAATGAACTAGAAAATCAAATACGGCTTAAAAAAAACCAATTACAATGCAGAAATCTTAGTTTACTTGGTTGTTAGACATTTTAATGGGCCAGGTTTATTTGCTTATCAGACATCTGGCAACGCTGTGCGGGTTAGGAAGAGATGGCTATCAGAAAAGATGACCTTTAAGCATGTAAAAGCGGAAGGGGATTTTACGAGGTTGAAGAGAGCAGCAAGTAGTAATTCCCATAGAATTGTTTCAGGAGGGAGAGAATTGTCTGAGAAAAAGGAAAAAAATATCGTAGGGGAAAAGAGTCTCTGTTTGGTTGGTGAATATGCATGTATGTGGAAAAGATGTTAGATAAGAAGCCTTTAATTAGAAACAGGTGTAGAGCAGGGTTTTGTGATGTGATAATATTGATCTATGGTTCATGTGGAATCACGCTTTTTTAATATAAAACTGAATTTATGATGGTGTTTAGCATAGACTGTTGGAGCCTCAGAGGATAGTTGAGGAGGGAAAATGTCATCCGTAGATAAAAATTGACTGGAATTTGGATATGGATTCTGCAGAAAATGGCACCAATGATAATCTGAAAAGATTGTAAGAAGCTCAGAGTGATTAGAACTCAACTAAAGGCTGATATTGTAATGGTCCTGGGGAGAAAGATAGTTTTTTGAAGAATAGAAATATTATAAGGAGAAAACACTTAACAAAATTTTCTTCTGAAAATTTAAAGTGAGGAAGATTTTATAGAGGAACCATAGTAACATAATAATGTACTGTTTGTAGTTACCCTTTCATTAATTAGCATACAATTTTTGAAAATATTAACCTAGCCCCTAGCAACATCAAATTCAGATTTAGCATTAAATTTTTCCTAAAGTGCTATTGTCACATGTATTTCCCTTGGGATGCTCATAAATATGAATTCAAATATTATGAGCACAGTGTAAATAAGAAGCATGTAAATTTTCCCATTCATAAAATATATTGCATGATTATGAAACTTCATTTTGGATTATCTACATATAAATGGACAAAGAGTCTCAATTTTTACTGAAAAAGAGAACCTTATATATATTTTTTTAGATGGCTTGTGGGAATGAAGAGAATATTAACCGAGAATTAAAAGACCATGAAACAGAAACAGAACACACTGAACAGAGTTCTGATCCTGACAAATCTTTGAAGGATGAAGTTTCACCAAGAAGAAATGACTTCATTTCTGTACCGAGTATTCAACCTTTGGATCCCATATCAGATTCAGATAGTGAAAACTCTTTCCAGGAATCCAAAGTAGAAAGCCAGAGAGCGCTGGAGGAGGAAGAGGATGAGGAAGTAAGGAGATATATTATGGAAAAAATTATACAAGCCAACAAGATTCTACAGAATCAAGAACCTGTGAATGATAAAAGGGAACGGAAGCTTAAGTTCAAAGACAAATTAGTTGATCTGGAAGTTCCTCCACTGGAAGACATTGATACTGACAAAAATTATGTTGAAAATGAAAGTAGTATGTCTGGAAAACTCTCACAGTTATGTATTTCCAAGGAATTTGGACAAGAAAATGTGCTCGTGTCACTAACTGATGGAAACTGTGAAGAGAACAAGGATAGGAAAATTCTAGTCGAGAGAGATGGAAAGTTTGAACTTCTGAATTTACAAGACATTGAGAGTCAGGGGGTTTTGCCCCCCATTAATACTAATAGTACAGAAAACGAGCCTCACCAGTTGTCATCCAGATCTTCCAACTCAAATGTCAATGGTGTCAAGAAAGAAGAGCCGATAGCAAAGATTCATGCTGTTGCTCATTCATCAACAGAAGAGCCACTGGCTTATATCCCTCAGCCACCAGCCAACCCCAAGACTCGTCCAAGTTCTGCTGCCAACTCAGATCGAAGTAAGGGGAATGGGAAACCTAATCACAGGACACAGTCTGCAAATACACCTCCAGTGACCTCAACATATTGTCTTTCCTCTCGACAGAAAGAACTGCAAAAACGGCTAGAACAAAAGAGAGAAAAGCTAAAGAGAGAGGTGAGCACATAAGCGGGCATCATATTGAAAGCGGGATGTATTTTCATGTTTTATAAATGTAGTGGTATTTGAAATAGTTCCTCAAAGTATTGGGTAGATTTGCTTGCTTGTTTTGTTTTTCTATTGTTAGATTAAGTGGTTAAATATTAAGAGTGCAGATTATGGGGTAAACACCATGATTATCTTGGTCCTTTCTTGGAGGGATCACAGGGCCTAGTAATGAATGACTTGTGTTAGAGACCGAGGTCTCAGTGATGACATCATCTGATCCTTTCATTTTAAAGATGAGGCTCAGAGAAGTGGCTGCTGAAAGTAATTTTGATGTGAGCAGGTGAAAATCAGGTGTCCTGTGGAAAAATGAAGGCACAAATTTGTTGGGGTTTAGGAGGCAGCAGGTAGATTTGGATTATAATTCTCTGACTTATGTGTGTATGTGTTTTCACATATTCTTCCATGCCTATAATTCCTTGATTTCAGAGATTTTAGTTTTAGATGAATAGAGCCTAATAACCTTAACAAAGTATTTCCAAAATGCCATATGGAATCCAAGATGATGATGATGATGATGGTGATGGTGATGGTGGTTTTGTGCTGTCGATTAAGAAGAGGGTGTGAAGTAACCAAAGCATTTATTTGGGGTCTTAAGGATTGCAATCCAGGAGGCAGAGTGTCGACCTAAATCAAAAGTGTGCTCTGAATAGTGAGCTAGTGAGCTGGGAGTGCAGGCCTATAAAGGCAAAAAGCACAAGCTTACATAGCTTGTTTTGAAAGAATTATGATTGGTGATGGCAGAGTTTAAACTGACTAGCTAATACACATAGGCTGTTTAGCCAACAGGTTACAATTTCCATCCAAAGTACAAGAATGTGTCTCACCAGGTTGGTCAGGGTTGCAGTTGACAAGTTGCAATTGACAAAAATCGAAAGATCATGGTGGGCTGAGAATTGAAACAGGAGACTTGAAATAGGAGACAGTGCGTAGGCCCCACTTCCTCAATGTTCTTTCAACTCTATTTTCAGTGACTGTCTTAGCAATGCTTACTTCGTTTTGAATCTTCCTTCACATTTCCCCCTTCTGATCAAGATCTTTCTGGCAGGAAAACATCAGTGACAGATTTTTGTGATCATGTAGTCCTATTTCATTATTGGAGTGGTTGGCAACCTGCAACTTGCTCTGGGCCCCTCATGTCCCTTGGAGGGTGGAATCTCATAGTGGTTGTTACTTGATGTGTTCTATAAGCATGCGAGGTGAGGGTTTTCCAGCCACATCTGAGTAACAAGGAGGTTTGAGGAAATAAGACCTAGAAGTCAATTAGATTCTCCTTTCTTTCAGTCAAAGGGTACATCTGGTGAATGGTTTTGAGTCTTTGAACAAAGATTATCTGAGTTGTGATAGGATTTGAAACATTGGCTGTGAAAAGCATTCACAGTGGGATAATAATGAGTATAGAACAAATTAAAACAGTGATAAGATAACTTGTAGCCCAGGTCCCAATTCTGATCAGGGGTTAGCTAAAAATATCTGAGACTCTGAAATCTAACCAACCAGAGGTTTTAGAGGATGGGATTCCCCTTAGAGATTTAGCAAGCTTAAAAATCTTAGCAGTTTTGAATTCCAAGCGACGGGAAGTACCCATGTACAGCAAGAAGTGTTAGTGATGGCAGACTCTACCTTGGGTCCCAAGTAAATAACCTAGTGCTATGCTATTATTGAGGACAACATGAGATAGAGTATCCAAAGACTTGCCCTGGCTCTAATAGCTCAGGCAGTGAACCTGGCAATTCTGCTGATGGTTCAAGAAAGATTTCCAATCATGTACTCATTCCAAGCCAGCAACTGAAGATCCTCCCAAATTGGGCCCCTTTACTGAAGTTCTTCTCTCCTGGGAGACCATAGCCTTGGGAACGCCCCCAACTGTTATCTTTTTATTCGGAGGGGTTGTCATCTGGATAATTATCTTCTTTCAGTTTTTTTTAGCGGGGAGACTCCTTTTAGTTCTATGATTAGTTCCTGTATGGTTATCCTTTAGTAATTAACTTAAGGACAGAAGAAAGAGAAGTTAGATATCCCAGGTGGCATTGCTTTGCCATTCTCCAGCTGTCTAGGCAAGCAGATGTCCAAGACTGTCCCCTGTAAGTGCAGACGAAAATGTGTCCTGTAGGGGTGCAAAGCATCTCTGCTTAGAACTGGTTATGGACTCATTTATCGGTATAGAGGGCATGATAGGAGAAAACCGGGGATCTGTTTTATTTGAGCAGATGAAAGGAGGGTGGCTGTGTGTTTCACATCTTAGCTGAAAGAATCTTTTGTAAGAGGGGGGTCTTGCAGCTACGAGTGTCTGTTGGGGAACAGTTGTTATTTGTGCCTTGGCATGTCTGCAAGAGCCAAATATAGGAGGCACTTTAGTGCTAAAGTGCCTGCTACAAGGATTGTTCCAAATATTTCATGGCCATGAGGCATTAGGAAGAGTCTCTTGTGAGATATACAGGCCTGGTCATGACTCTTGGGAAAGCTGTCTGTCTACCTCAGGTGCCATCTGCTTCTCACCCAGATTGTTGATTTTGAGTGGGTCTGGATATTTTTAGTTTGAGATCTCTTGTGGTTGGGGATGTCCAGTCAGGAGAGGATGCCTTTTTTTTTTTTTTAAATAAGAACTGTGAACCCATGGGTCAACGCCTTTAAGTTTAGCAGCCAGGGGATTAGTTAACAAATGCTTGATGTGGCCCTTCCCAGTGAGGTTGGAGGGCATCCTTGTGTGGGTGACATTTCCAGGAAGCAAATGTCCAGGTGGGAGATCATGATGTTGAAGATGTTTGTCACCCAGAAGTGTGCTGGGAAAAGATTGCTGTATGAGCTCGGTATTAGTTTCAAGTACCTTGATAAGATCTTTGCAATAGATTAGTGGATTTCCTTTCAGTAGTAGGCCATCCTCATAGGTGTTCTGGTAATGATTTCAAAGGGAGATAATTAGTGTTTACCAAATAGAGTGGATCTGAGGTTAAATAATTTGAAGGGGAGGGCTTTAGACCAAAGCAGACTGAAAGACTCAGTAAGATTTGCCAGTTGGGGGGTCTTAATTATTCCATTTGTTTTTTCTACAGTGGCAGAGTATTGGGGATGATATGTGCAATGAAAATGTTGTAATATTGGCCAGATGTGGCAAATGGCCTATGATATTTGTTTTGTGAAATAGCTCCCTCAGTCACTGTGAGGTTCTGAGGGTATGCCTCAGTTTGGACTTATTTTCTCCAATAATATTTACCATGGAACTGAGGCCATAGTTCCATGACTAGGAAAGGCTCTTGCACAGTGAGAAAACATGCAAGCCATTACTAGAACATATTTGTGTCCTTGAGATGGTGGCAGCTAGATAAAATTCAACTGCCATATTTCAAAGGGCCCAGAAGGTAAGAGATGTCTCTGTCATCAGAAGGTAAGGGTTTAGAAGGCAGGATTTAGAGAATGATAGTTTGAAATGATGACATTTGGGGGAGACAGCAAGAGGGTTTCATAAAAGGTTAATCTACTGGAGGACAGATGCTAAGTATAATGAGTATCATTCTCATTATAATGGCATTTGCAGTGGGGGTTGCTTATTTTTATGACATGCATTTTATTTTTTATTTTTTTAAACTGTATTTATGTTGAGAGAGGTGGGAGAGGGAGAGGCAGAGAGAGAGGGAGAGAGAGAATCATAAGCAGGTAGGTGAAGCCTGACACAGGGCTCAATCTCAAGAACCATGACATCATGACCTGAGCCGAAATCAAGAGTCAGATGCTTAATTGACTTAGCCGCCCAGGTGCCCCTATGACATACATTTTATTTTTTATTTATTTAAAAAAATTTTTAATGTTTATTTATTTTTGAGAGATAGAGCACAAGCAGGGGAGGGGCAGAGAGAGAGACAGAAGGAGACACAGAATCTGAAGCAGGCTCCAGGCTCTGAACTGTCAGCACAGAACTTGACACAGGGCTCGAACCCACAAACTGCAAGACGCTTAACCAACTGAGCTACCCAGGCGCCTCTGTCATGCATTTTAAAATGATGACTGATAACATTGTATCAGGAAATAATCAGATTTCTAGGGATTTCACACAGTATTTGGAACACTGTACAGATGTTACATAAAGTTTAATATTATTTCTTATTTGACAATGCTTCCCATGTGATTTAACATATCAAATAAACCTAATAGGTCCTATGGAATTTTCCAGATCAAAAAGACTTCATTTAGAAGTTGATTTGGGGGAGTTTGTAAAAAATATCAAAACGTTTGGACACTTGACCCAATAGGATAACAGAAAATTATAAAACAATACTTCATTATCCATTTACCTAAATTATCAGGGACAAATACAGAAGATTACAGTTAGCTACAAAAGCCTTAGCTGGTCTTAACAGAAGAAGACTCAGCTTTCCCAAGTCATCAAAGACGTGATAAAGACAAAACATAGATTCTGTTTCCTAGGCAGATTACATTAAAAGTAAAGAAACTTTGGGTACAATCTCTTATGAAGGGCAGGCCAACAATCTGAGAAAAATTTGTCCTTTCAACAGAGAAAACCAAAATTTTGCACTAGTGTACTTTGGATGTCAAAACTGAAGTTTAGATACATTAATTTTAACCTTGGCCAGCTTGATTACACATGAAATTCCTTTTCCAAGACTTCTTTCCTATGAACCTTCTACAACTTTCTGTGTCTATTTTAGTTTGTCTCTTTTTATTTCTCTTTCTGAAATAATCAGCTCTATGACAAAATCAGTTTCATTTCCCTCAACAAAATTCATTTCTTCCCCATACCTTCTTTTACCAAAAACACACACTCTACTTTTCCTCTCTTACTTTCCATATACAGTCATTTTCTTACATCCTTGTTGAATTTTAGTAGCTTTACTTTCAAAAATACTAAATAGAATGTTTAACCCTTAGAATCTTAATTCCTAGTGAAAACTAAGAAACCATTGTGGACTGGCACATTTATAAATATGTTTCATCAT